AGGTGGGGCTGGTGCGGTCCAAGGGCTGCTCCAACCAGCGGTGACCTCACCTTCCGGGTTACAGTCTCACGGTGGGGAGTGGGGAGCGCTGACCTGCTGTGGTCACAAAACTGTCAGAAGAGGCCAGTCATCCAGAAAACGACTGTGACCTCCAGTTCTTCCCAAACCTGCAGGGGTTCCCCGGGGGTTAAGAGAAGCTTCTGGGATATTCGAGTCTACACAAGGCAACCTTTTCCTCAGGCTCATCCCTGCACTGCTTCCGTTTGGAAGGTGGCGTCAAGTCCCCATTTTCCCAGGTGGAGCCACCGGCCCCTGGTCCAGACAGGTCACTACTGGTCACCCTTCCTCCAGCCACAGAGGCTGAACATGGGCCGGGCACAAGCCGACACTCAATAACTGGCCCTGCGTTGTCCCTTCCCACCTCCTTTCTTCCTTCCAGGGCCTCGGGTGATCAGGGGTCCAGGTGCCCCAGGAGCACGGAGAGGAGAGTTCTGGGGTCCTAGGGCAGGAAGAGCCCTGGAACGCGCTGTCCCTGCCCTCAGTACATGCATGAGCTGTCCCGGCCTGCGTGAACGCCCCTCCCAGCTCCCTGGGCACAGCAGGTGGGGCCCCACCTGCTCGGTCTCCAGCTCTGACGTCAGAACTCCCTGGTCTGCGGCTGCCTCAGCGCCCAGCCTCCCCGTGGGCCGAGCTGACTAAGCCCCCCCGCGCACTGAAAAAAAGGTCTACGCCCCTGCGGCCAGACCCCCCGGGTCTGCGGCTGCCTCAGCGCCCAGCCTCCCCGTGGGCCGAGCTGACTAAGCCACCCCGCGCACTGCTGGCAGGAGCGGAGAGGCCTGTTTTAACTCAAGAGCGACTGTGTGTGTGGAGGGGGACGACGAGAAATGAACACCCACCGAGCGCTTACTGCATGCCAGGTGCAGAGTGGCCTTAACACCCTGCTATATTAGATGGAGGGACGGGGTCCCTGAAGTGAATAAATGTGTGAAGAATTACAGACCTGTGGATACCAGTGCTGGGTACCCATAAGGTGGCTTTCAGCTCAGCACTCTGGTTTCACACACAACATGCAACAAGCCTGCAGCCCCTGCTCTGCCTCTGCCCTGCCTGTCTGTTTCCAGAGCACTACCACAAAGACCCACTGTCCAGTGCTCTGCAACCACTCCAGCAACGTGGGCTCCTCGGAGCTCAGAACCTGGCCTGTGCACCTGCAGCTCGAGATTAAGGAGTGAGCCCCATTAGCACGGAGCAGCAGGCAGGGCCTGGCCATCCCCACTCTGCCCGCTCCGTCTCCCACCACCCTCTGCCCGCTCACTTTGCTCGACCTCGTTCTATTCTCTAGACATCTGGGGCTCCTGTCTTGGGACCTTTGCACCTGCTGGTGCTCCTGTCCACAACGCAGGGTCACCTGCCTGGGGCCTGGTCCTTATGGTGTCATATGTGTGCCCCTCTCGCCTTGCGCAGAACGTCACGGGTCTGCCAGCAGTCCCCTCCCAGAGAGCGGGTGCAGCCTGGAGCAGCCAGCTTGTGCCCGGCATATGCAGGTACTTCACTGTGCCAGCCAGTCTCAGCCTTCCTGCTGTCACCTCCGGTTCGCGATGGGCTGAGCGTCATGACAGCCAGTGGCCCAAATGTCTGTCTGGCACAGATGGGAAGATGCTTGACTCGGACAAGGTCACCCCCATGAAGGGCCTGGTGGAACAAAGCCCCTCCCTCCCCACAGATTCAGCATGAAGCAGTCCCACCTCCAGACAGACCTTGTCCCCCAGGTGGGAGGTGGAAGGGAGCTTTGACTCTGGCCTACCCTCCCTTGTTTGGCCAACAGTGCTGAGACCCAGAGAGGTTTGGGAACTTGCCCAGGATCACTCAGCAAATAGCAATGGCGCAAAGACCTGGCTCTTTGAGGGTCCCTGGGCCTTGGTGCCAGCAGGGTTCAAAACAGGATCAGCACGACAGGGAAGGCAAACCCTCCCACAGTGGTGGAGGCTGGGGGCTACAGCCAGGAAGGAGCTGAGGGGAGGCGAGCCCAGCGCTCCCCTCCTATGTGGCCAATCAGCGACTGGTCAAGCACTCGCAGGGCTCAGGAGGAGGGTGGGCCTGGCAGGGGCCTCCTAACCACGTGACTGTGGACAAGGCTTCACCTCTCTGAGCCTCGGTTTCCCCATCTGTGGAAAGGGGGCCACTGCCTCCCAGGGCTCTAAGAGGCCTAGGGGTGGTGATGCAGGGGTGGCGAGAGCCGGCGCGGGCTAAGCAGCTGGGTGCTAGCTCCCTCCGTGCTGCGGAAGAGGGGGAGGCGATGGAGACCGAGAAATTCTCGGAGTGAGAGCGAGATTCCAGTGTCGGCCAGGGAGGAGGCGGCCGGGCCCGGTGTGAGGACCTGCTGGTTGTAATCAGAAACGCAAAGCAGCCAGTGCCAAGGGCAACAGCTCCAGGGTCTCCTCCCGTCGGAGGGCGCCTGCCAAGACCCCACCGAAGCAACCCCAGTGGCATCATGCGTCCACACCCAGAGCGGGCACAGGCCACCACGGTGCCGGCGGTTCCAGGAATCAGGATGGAGGAATCTGGTCGTCTCTGCCAGGAAGCCCGCATGGAGCCCTCGCTCGTGTAGGCCCAGGGACCAAGATGGGCTTAGTCCGGGGCCGGCTGTCAGGTCCGCAGTCTCGCCCTTCTGGCAGGAAGCCGCCCCTCTGTAGGCACTCTCCCAGCCTACCCCCAAACCACCCTGCGATGATCCAGACGGAAAAAGCCACTGGCCACACGAAGGGGCCGCAGAGGTGAGCACAAGTCCTGCTCCTCTACAGACCCGAGGCCCCGCCAGGGCTGGACCGGAATGGTCTCCTTGGCCGTAACGCACTGGGCTCGCTCTTGCTCTAACTTTAAAACCCGGTTAAGAAGCAGGAGAGAAACCAATGCCACAGGCTTAGACACACGTGGGAAGGTTCGGAGGGGTCTCTCCTTCTGCACACTCCTCCTTGTCGCCCGGGGCCCCAGAAAGCCCATCAGGGAGGATGACTTACACTTCTGTCGTTATGAATCCAGTGAGTTCCGACAGGAAGAGGAAGAGGATGAAGAGGCAGCAGCAGATAGAGACTGGAAGACACAACATAGACGCAAACGGTTAGGGGTGGAGGGC